CGGACTGTTTCAGTCGGCAGTCCCGCGCGAAGTGGCCCTCGCGCCCACAGTAGAAGCACTCCGTCACAGGATAAGGCTCGAATGGTGCCTTCTGCGTCTTCGTCCGAGCTTGGTGCCTCTCCAGATTAAGGAGACGAGCATCCCTCGTCGCGTACACCGGGTTGGTGGCACCGGTCGTGCCCTGCCCACCGCCATACTTGGCCTCCACTCTTAGCGTCTTGGTCGGACGCCGGAAGTGCTGATCTCCGCCGGGTCTCCGTCCACGCGTTCCACCCCGGTCGCTGCTAGCCGTTCAAAATGTCGTACCGTCGCTCGTACCTCCCGTCTTATCGGCAGGTACCAGTTGAAACCCTGGCGGAATCGATTTCCACCACTCCGTCGAACCGGCTCCACCGTTACTTGCCTTCCCTCCGTATCGTACCGCGGCCGCTTCTGGGGCGCACCCCACGCTGGTCCGTACCCAGTCATCACACTCTTGGATTCGCCGTCGATCCCTAACTGTTCCCGTTCATCGCCTCCTGCCGCCGCCGTTAAAGGCCTGCGCCCTTGCTGCGCTTCGCGCTCGTACCAGCGAGCCATCGCCGTCTCGAGGCCGACTCCGTATCCATCGCCGTAGTCACCCACGTGGGGGGATCGCCAGGTTCACCGCCTCGTCCAGCGTTCGGGGCCTGTGTACCCGCACGTGCGTCGCCCCCTCCGAACTGCGCATACCCTTCTGGAACGCGCTAACCAGCCAGTCCTTGCCAACGTCGCCGTTTTCTCCGATCTCGCGCAGCGACTGCTCGTATTCCACAAGCCGCTCGCCTCTCAATTGTCGCCTGGCGTTGAGTCGATTGACCACTTCAGGTCCCGTGCGGTGCGTCATGTACTTGGCGCACAGCATGCTGGCCAGCGTATTGATGCTCTCTTCCTCAGGCGAGACAGACTCCATCACCGTCGCGAACCAGCGCCTCGCCTCACCGTCCAGTTGCGAAGCAACTTCGTGGTAAAGTTGGTCGTCTCTCCATTCCACGCCCATCGTCACCACCAGCCGACGAACCTCGGCGTGCACCATCTTGAGCCACATCGTGACCGGCATGTTGTCGTCCAGCCCCTTGAACTTCATGTGTTTCAGGGCCTTCGCCTTCTCGCGCACGATTACTTGTCGTGGCGGCTAGTCTCTTCCGTCTGTCGGTACGTCGTTCGCTGCTGCCGCTGGTGGAGCGCGGCTGGGGCCGCCACCGCCCTGTCCACCGCCGTTTCCCGCCCCCGTTAAGTTTATCGTCTCCACTGCGACGCCTGCATCCATCTCATCGTCCGCGCCAGCGCCCGCATCCGTATCTGATCTTGCGCCCCCAGCCGGTGGTGTGTCGTTACTCCGTCCGTCACGGCCTCCGCCTGATGACGCGCTGTTACCTCGCCCGACTCCCTCCGAGTCACTTCTCGCGTTCCTTCCAGCACCAAGACATCCAGTACTCCCTCTGGTCGGCTCGCCCCCATCCAGGCTGCAGAAGGTGAAGCCGCCCATATCCAAGTTCATCGGTGTGCGTCCTGTCGACGGCCGGATCTCGCTCGTCTCCAGCGTCACCACGACACCGTCACCCGTGTCCACAGTCGTCGCCGCTCCCGGCTGCCGTTGCTTCTTAGCTGACGCCTGCACGGCGCTCGTAGATCGCTCCGTAACCGCTGTCATCGTCAGAATTTTACAATCCAAATACAGCCACCTCTGTTAGCCCTCACCCTTTCTGACCGTTTCTTTACTTCGCTCTCTGGAGTCGCTCGACTGCCACTGGTTCCCGGCAATCACAGCTAGGTTCCGTTCCCCATTGTGTCCTTTAGCATGCAGAGACCACAGCAAGGTCCCCGCCGTCTCCCTCCGTGGGGTCGTCCACTAACGACAAGCCCGGAGTAACCACAGCTAGGTTCTGCCCGGAAGGCGCCTGTCATGACCTCCATGTAGTTATTGTTCACTCTGGGACCTTTCTTCTTACTCGTCCACGCCACCTGACACCCTTGGACAGGATCGTGGTGGCGTCATCACCTAGGTGGCGTGCGATCCCCAGGTAACGTATTGAGGCAGTACGGAGGAGATCTACCAGACAGCTACTGGTCGTTGGATCAGCCGCCCAAACGGATAGGAACAGCGAGGAGGACACATTATCGGCGACCGGCACCCCCGGGAAGGGTCTGTGGGCTGTATCCCGCAAGGTAAACCCGTATTTTATGCAACATGCAGTGGGCGTGAACTCCGTACGGCAAGCCGTATTCGTGTTCTGCCTCCTCGGTCGTCAGCTACGACCCCCATGGTCTCTCTCCATGGTCCTCGCCACCCTACTGACCCGTCCGCCCTCTTCTGACAACGCTACCCTGCCTCACCTTTGCCCTTAGAGAACCCGTGCTTCGGCGCCACTCTCCTTTGTTTAGTCTTAACTGTCCTCCGTCCGGGAACAATCTTAACTGAGGGTCGAACGGCCAGCCGCACGCTCGTGATCCTCCTACGAAGTCTACCGTCGCCTCCTACTCCTACTCCTACTCCGAGGGCCCGTTGCTATCCTACTGATCCTCGCTAGGCGTCGCCTCGCCTCCTCGCTCTTCGTCCTCGCTAGGCGTCGCCTCGCCTCCTCGCTCTTCGTCCTCGCTCGTTTATTGTGCACGTCCGCTCTCCTCGCGATCTTCGAACGTCGCCCAACTTCAACTACTACCTCCTGTCCTCGGTGGCACTAGCCCACTGACTCGCTCCCGCCACCGCACTGCATCCACAACACTCACTCGCCACCGAACTAACTGGTGTCGTCCACGCCAGTGTCGACCGTTAAGTCGATCACTTCAACTTGCCGCCCCTGCCAGTTTGTCGAGGCCGCATCGTAGGTCACCCTACTACAACAGGAACATCAAAATATTGACCTCGATCTGACATGAGGAGGGATGTTATTATAATAGATTCATATCAAAGCCCGGGCATCATTGTGACAGATGGCCCTGCCGTTTATGAAGCACTAGCGTTAAAAAGTGCCTTCATTGGTATCGATCGGAGCTCCTTCCGTCATTAAACACGGAGGAAACTGTTCGTGAATGATGCAACAAGTGCTTACGTGGCGACTTGAAAGTACAACAAGTTTTAAGCTCACTAGAAGTGAGGAGTGCATCGATACCAAGAAGGTGTGACAGATTAAAGAACCTGCTGTTTATATTGTGGGTTCTACTCAAAATTTCCGTTCTTTGAATGAACTCCCCCAAATCGCCCATACTGACCGTTTAAGTACGAAATAAGATACAGTAATGACTTGGATTTGTATGTGGGCGATTGTCCTCCCGCTCCTCAAACAGACCCAAATCGGCAAATTTGGACGAAATTCACAATAATGGGCCCGCTTTCGTAACTCATGACCATCATTCGGCTTGAAGCCGATGATTTTAACAATTAATCACCTTACACCAACACAAATAATAGTAGAGCAGGATTTATAATGATTTCAGGTGAAGCATTATGCAAGTTAGACGAGATACTTCGCATCAAGAGTTCAGCGTGCATCTTCTTCATGGTTCCTGCAGACTGTTCGAAAGTAGGGGTGCACGTAGCGTTTCATCCTTGGAGAACAGTAACTCGGCCTTGTTATCTCGGATAATTTCCGGCGGGATGTAGAACTTCAGTGCCAGTGACGAAAGCACCACCGACACAGATGATAACGCCATCGCAGCACTTGCAAACATTGGCGGGATGCTAAAATTCACGGGGTACAGAACACCAGCAGCGAGTGGAATCAGCAGGCAATTGTAGCCGAATGCCCACACGTAATTCAGTCGAATACGGTTGAAAATAGTGCGAGACAAATGCAACGCAGTGACCACATCCACTAGATTCGACTTCATGAGCACCATGTCAGCGGTCTCGACTGCAATTTCCGTGCCACCTCCAATAGCGATTCCAACATCTGCTTGAGCGAGAGCAGGCGAGTCATTGATCCCGTCACCGACCATAGCGACAATACGGCCAGAGTCTTGCAACTCCTTGACTTTCGACGATTTCTCGGACGGAAGTACATCCGCCATGACGTTGTCCTGATTAATTCCGACCTGCTCAGCGATAGTATTGGCAGTTTGCTCATTGTCACCAGTAACCATCCAAATATCCAGTCCCATTTGACTAAGTTTCTTCAGCGTACAACGTGCCTCCTCTCGAGGGGCATCCGCTACGGCAAAAACAGCATTAAGCTCGTCGTTGACGGTCATGTAGATCGACGTTTTACCGGAATTCTGGAAACGATTCGTAACTTGCTCCAACACGACGTTATCCAATCCCTTTACGTTGTTATCTACCATCCACGCCATGTTACCGATGAGAACTCTCTGCTCGCTTACAGTACACGACATTCCTCTTCCAGAAACACCCTTGAACTCCGTTGGTTGTTCAAGAGACGACGAAATCTTCTTAGCGTAGTCAATTATAGCCTTGCCTAACGGATGTTCACTACCAAGTTCAGCTGAGCCGGCAAGTAGAATCAGCTCCTCAGCTCCTCGTTTTTGGCTGACCACGTACTCATCTGTCACCACAGGCTTCCCCACCGTCAGAGTCCCAGTCTTGTCGAAAATAATCGCGTTGACATTATGAGCAGCTTCAAGAGCTTCACCTCCCTTGATCAAGACCCCATGCTGTGCTCCAACGCCCGTTCCAACCATCACAGCTGTAGGTGTCGCCAACCCAAGAGCACAAGGACAAGCGACAACCAGCGTCGCGATTCCAAAGTCCAGTGCAAACACAAACTTGCCATCCGAATCTGGGATCCAATTCTCTGGAACTGCGTCTAGAAGACTTAGAACGTACCAGATTATGAAAGTCAAGAGTGCAAGAACAACGACCATCGGGACAAAGATGGAGGAAATATAGTCGGCAAAAGCTTGGATTGGCGCTTTAGACGTCTGTGCGTCCTCCACGAGACGAATGATCTGGTTCAGAGCTGTGTCGCTGTCAATACCCGTAACTCTCATATGAAATAGACCATCGACGTTCAACGTAGCTCCCAACACGCGGTCACCTATAGCTTTCTTGATCATCTTTGATTCTCCAGTCAGCATAGACTCATCAACTCGTCCTTGACCGTACACAATCACCCCGTCGGTAGGCACAGAAGAGCCGCGAACAACTCTCAAGACATCTCCGCGTTGTACCAACTCAATCGGGACTATTTTCTCTTCCTGAACATTAGTTCCGTCTGCGTTGAAGACCAACAACGTGGCTGATTTAACTTGGAGCTCCATCAATTTAGTCAACGCCGCTGAAGTTTTCCCCTTTGCAATAGCTTCCAATAGTTTTCCAAGAACCACAAACAAGATCAACACAGAAGATGTCATGAACATGTCCATGTTCGCTATATCCACATCATCCAGCACGATAGCGCGAATAACAGTGAACCAGCCGTAGATATACGCCACGTTCGTCCCCATAGAAACTAGGAATGCCATGCCCAGCACTCGGCTCTTAACACCTTTCCAAGCATCAAAATGAAAGCGACGAGCTGAGTAGAACTGCACGGGAGTCGCTAGAATCGCCACAACCAAAGTCTCCCACGAAAGATCAGGTAGGATCTCTGCCATTAGACCATGTTTCAAACGAGTAATGTTCTCGAAAACCAACATAAGTAGCAGGATAGGAAGCGTGAAAAGCAGCGCGATCGTGAAATCCACTTGATAGCGTTTAATTTCCTTGATACGCTGGTCGTCGAGAGCTTTTTGAGCCTTAGCCCCGGTCACATACGATGCCTCATAGCCGATATCTTCCACGACTTCAAGTAGTGATCGAATACCAACCACCTCCTTGTCAAAGTGGACCACAGCCTTCTCAGTTGCAAAATTCACAGTGGCAGACAACACACCCTTCGTGTTTTTCAACACGTTCTCAACCGAGTTGGCACATGAATTACACGTCATTCCACTGATCAGTAACGTCGCGTTGGAAGACGTACGTTTATCTCCTGCCATGAACGCAGCTTCATATCCGACGCTTTCCACCACTTCGATAAGTGCGGGCATTTCAACTACGCTCTTGTCATACCGCACGACAGCTTTCTCTGTCGCGAAAGTAACCACAGCAGATATGACGCCTTCCGTCTGCGTCAGGGAACTTTCAACTGAAGCTGCGCACGAGTTGCACGTCATACCACCGATCAACAGTGTCGCGCTGACAGAATCGTCACCAGCGTCAGCAACTGGGATGCTAACGTCGTTCGTCAGAGTCTCGAGTTTTTCAGATTGCTTACAACTCAGTAAGTCATCGGTCGGTGGGGGGTGATACACAGAAGCCTTGTACTTCTGCCCGACGGACTGCACCACATCAACTACGTTGGCTTCAGTGATATGGCTGTCCGTCTTCAAGCAAACGGTAGCTCTCTTAGTCTCAAAATTCACTGTAGCGTTTGCGACTCCGTCCGCTGCATTCAACGCATCTTGAACTTTTCGGACACACCCATTGCAGGTCAGACCAGCGACGTCGAGACACACCACACGCTCGGTGTCACCGTGAACTTGGTCTGCGGGGCTACTTGGTGCACTTATAACCCCCCAGTAGTCTTCACCCTGAGCATCGGACGCAGCCGTCGCCATCCTATTCTTCAATCTTGTGCGCACAGATGCAAATTGGACATTGAAAGTGAAAATCTGCGGCCTGGAGCAGCGTCTTGACCCGTGGGTTTCCACTCGGTTGACGTCACGAAGACGTCATCAGAAAGAACTTGACACGAGTGGGATGCGGTAAACCTGCGACGAGGAAGATTACGTTCTTGACCCGGGTCACAACGCAATCTTCTGTATGACTGGAACACAAAACAAACCATAGCTGGGACAGCAAACAAATCTACACAAAACGAAGCTAGATTGCCGCCTACTTTTCCTGACCAGAACACGCTCATAACGATAGTCGATCCATGTCGCCTGAGACTCGCCACAGCTCCTCTAGCGTCTGGAAACCGTCCATTTTGAGGTCCGACAACCGGCCGACGTCGCCGATCTCGTTCAAGAACACATCCAGACTTCCACGGCCGGCCAGATTATCGCCGCTGCCGGAGCTGCGCAGTCTCCGAGCGGCCGACGCTCGAGCTGCGTCGATGCTGAGTCTTGGCTTGACCTTCTTCAGAGAAGGTTCGTTTGTTCTGCCGTGTTCCCCGTCGTCATCCTCATCGGCCGTATCATCGTTGGATCTAGTAGAGCCGGAATTGCTACTGGGCATTGGAGGTCTCTGGCCAGCTTGGAACCGCTGAGCGAAGGCTGCGGCCGGGTTGAAGGCCTTAGGTGGGCCAGCTTGGGCCATCTTACTAGAAGCACTCGGCTGTTCCTTTCGCTTCTGCTGTTGCTGCATATGCATGAAGGCTGCGACAGGATTACTGTTGCCCGCAGCTGGGGACGCCTTGGCCGCCTGGCTACGGGCAAACATTGCCGCCGGGTTCGACATTGGCTGAGGCATTCGGCCGGGTCGCGGCTCCTCTTTAGGCTGTACGTCACTCGATCTTGACTGCTTCATCTGATGCTGGTGATGTACCGGCGGCTCCTCTTCTCGGTGTGGTTGATCATGCTCGTGTACACGACCGCGTTGTTGCATAGGGTGGGGCTCATGTTGAGGAACGTGATGAGGGAAATGCACCGGTCGATCCACATACTGGTGTGAGTGTTGCTGTCGCTGGGCGAAGGCTGCTGCGGGGTTACGCATGGTATTGTTACTCGGATGCATCGGGTGGCTAGACGACGCTCCGCCGTTCATGTTTTTATTCGATGGGGGCATACCGTAGTCGTACGACATCATCTGAGGGTGCGGCGAATGGGCCATTTGCTGATGGTGGTGCGGTGATACCTGTGAGTCATTGTACATGGCCCCTCCACCTCGGTAATTGTTCATCTGCGAGCCATTGCCATACATTGGGCCGTTGTTCATCCCTCCACTGGGCGTCGACGATCCCGCCGAGTACATGCCGCCGTTCATGTTGGAGTGATATCCTGACGACGGGCCTTGGTACTCTCTGTATCCGTCTTGAGATTGTGAATGTTGTGAATGTGCTGACATACCGTTGGACGGCATGTTGACCATGTTAGATCGGCGGTCGACGGGGTAATCCTGCGAGTTATTGCCGGCCATCGGTCCTGAAGGTGGTAGCGGGTGATCATAGACGTTGTTCACAATGTGTTGCTGCATCGGAGGCTTCCTGTAGTGGGCCATTGTGGGATCATATCCACCTCCGCTCATATCGCTATGATACATCATCCCGTTTCCACCCATACTTCCCATCATGGAGTGGTGTTGCCCTCCCGTCTGCATATTGTTGGCCGGCACCATTTGGCCGTTCGGAAGACGCACCATTTGACCACCTTGTTGCTGCGGGTGCATGGAGAACGCAGCAACTTCTTCACTCTTCACCATTCCACCATCAAAGCCTGGGCCTTGCTGCATCATCTGGCCAGGCATCATCACGCCCTTAGGAGTCATCTTGCCCTTGTCAGGTTGGCCACGACGGCCTTGTCTGCAAAGAATAAACAAAGTCAGTGTACCGTCCACAGTGTGCTTAATTGGCCAACACAACGCACCCTTTGCGCACTCGACAGAGCGACTTCCACCGGATCTTGACGGCGTCTTCTGTACGGCCAGGCAGCATGGCGGCGATAGCCGACCAGCGGTTGCCCAGTCTGGCCTGTGCGTCCAGGATCATACGGTCCTCCTCCGGCGAGTACTCGCCACGAACGATGCTTGGGTCCAGGTGGTTGTACCAGCGCTCGCGGCACTGCTTGGACGTACGGCCAGGGATGCGCGTGGCCACTTGGCCCCAATTCTTTCGGCCCTCTGCCACGAGTTCCTTCAGCAGCTCGTCCTCCTCTGGCCGCCAGTGGCCCTTGACAAGGCCAGGGGCCAGCACTTTAGTCCATCGCTGAAGGCATTGCGTGTGGTTACGGCCGGGCACTTCTTCGGCGATCGACTTCCAGTTGCGTTCACCATGGCGGCCCACAGCCTCGCGGAGCTTGTCATCCTCCTCCGGCGTCCAGCGTTTAGGCACGGCCTTGTCCTTGGTCTTCATAATCTGCGGCGACATCAACAACAGCAACAAAAAAAACTAAATATACAGCACAATTACAACTTGACCAACACTACGCACATCATGCTGCTTCTGGCGGGGCACGCCCTTGATTTCTGTGAACACGCGCTTGCTTCCCGTCTGAGTCTGAGTCGGTCCGTTGGTCTTCGACGTGGACGTGGTGGCCGCTGCAGGTTTACTGCTGACCACACTGGGCCCGGCCTGGCCAGACTTGGCCGCGTTGCTGCTGCCGTTGGCCTGACCTTCCGTGAAGAGCAACTTGCCAAAGTCCGAGATTGAAGAGCGGCCATCGCCCTCCATGGGGAAACCCTCTACGAGCTCGCCCATGAGCTTGGAAATGGACTCTCGACTGACGCTGATGCTCATGGCCCTTCGGTCCTGAAGAGCGAGAGATTAGCTATGCGCTACAGAGAACGGGTGGAGGATGTCTTACACTCCGCTGCGCTTTGGGCTGCCGCTGTCAAATGCGCACAAGTGCACGACAAAAGCAACAAAATACGTGGGGGTTCGACGCGTGGTGTTCACTCCTTTTCCGCCGACGTCTGACGGGCCCATTTATGTAAGATCCGGGTCTGGCTCTCTGAACATCAGCTGTACCCCTCGTAACCCGAATCGTACCCTCTCTGGATCTGCCAGATTACATTTACCAAGTCAAATGGAACGCGACAGCTGTTCGGACACCCCAGCAAGCTGTTTATCTTGTACTCCGTATGTCCAGTTATGTTGCGTCCCGTCCAAATGCCCGTAACGAGTGTAACCGCATCATCGCGGCGATCTTTCGCTGCGCACCAAGAGACACCAGAGGAGACGCGACGAGCTCCATTCTCTAGACGCCTCTCTACTAGCAGCCTCGTGTATCTACCATGTCCTCTGCATACGGCTCGCGTGGTGGTGCCAAGGCCAAAGGCGCAGCCGCTAAGAACAAGAAGTTTGAGCTGACGGAAGAGCAGAAGCAGGAGATCCGCGAGGCCTTCGACCTGTTTGACACGGATGGCAGCGGTACCATCGACGCTAAGGAGCTTAAGGTAGCTATGCGTGCACTGGGCTTCGAGCCTAAGAAGGAGGAGATCAAGAAGATGATCTCGGACATCGACAAGGACGGCAGCGGCACCATCGACTTCACCGAGTTCCTCGAGATGATGACGTCCAAGATGAGCGAGAAGGACTCGCGCGAGGAGATCCTCAAGGCCTTCCGTCTCTTTGACGACGACGAGACCGGCAAAATCTCCTTCCGCAACCTCAAACGTGTGGCCAAGGAACTCGGCGAGAACATGACGGACGAGGAGCTTCAGGAGATGATCGACGAGGCCGACCGCGACGGTGATGGCGAGATCAACGAGGACGAGTTCTTGCGCATTATGAAGAAGACCAGTCTGTATTAGGGAGGAGGCCACTTGCCACTCTGTAGACAAGAACGTTCCCTTTTGCTCCATAATACACCATCTTTATGCATCAAACATTGCCAATGTATCTATTCAAGTGCTTTCTCCTTGTTTACTTACTCCTCGTCCGATGAGAAGTTAAAGTCGCCCACTTCATCAGCAGCGTCCACTGCTGCCACCGACTTCTTAAACTCCTTGAGCGACATCTTTTTGACCTTGGTCACAGTCTCTTCGTCCACGGGCGTGCCGTTCTTCTTCGCGCGTTGTTTCTTCTTTTTGTTCTTCTTCTTCCCTTCTTCAGCCGGCTTGGAGTCATCCTCCTTGTCCTTAGATGCTTGGGCCGAAGCGTCCAACTTCTCCTGCAGATCCGACGCGTCCTTCTCGAAGATCTTCTTGACTGCAGCTTCACGCTCAGCACGTAAGAAATCATCCAGCTGCGCCGTATCCTTCGGGCACAGGTCCAGGCCGCTGCGCTTGGAGCGGATCCAGTCTGCACGCTTCTTTATACTGTCACTGAGTCCACGTGCTTGGGCCTTCCACTTGGGAACTGCACACGCGTGTACGAACTTGTTGAGAGTGAGCTGCAATGGCACTGCGAACTCCGGGAAGGCCACGTTGAACTTGTACACATCGCACTCGCGCTGTAGCAGCTCAAAGAGCCGTACAATGATCTGATCGTGTACGCGCTTGGCGTCCAGAGCCGTCTTCGCCAGCTTCACGCTGAGCTCCAGGTCCACCTCAGTAGTAGGATTGCTGCCCTTAGCAGCCTTCTTGGCTCCGCTAGATCTGTACGACGACTTGAACGGCTCGAGTTGCAGCACTTCAAGCAGAGCCGGACTCGTGGGGATGAACGAGTTGGTAGCGAGCGCGAGCTGCTGCAACAGCTTCACGCAGTGGAAACGCAGCGCGGCAAAGCGTAGCGTGCTCGATAGTCGCACAACGGCGAGTAGGAGCTGACTCAAGGGGTACACGAGCGCACGGAGCTGGTTCTCGGCCGGGTACGCGCACACGACGGCAGTCCATACACGCAACTGGTTGAAGAACTGCCAGTTGAGCACAGCCTTGAACGAGTCCGGGCCCGGAGATGTGATAGTCTTACGCACAGCAATGGCCAGCTCGCGAATGTACACGAACGCGTGCTGGTACGAGCTGCTGAGGTCCAGGCCGAAGAGCTCGACCACACAGTTGCCCATGAGGATGTGGTGGGGCAGCGTCACCTCGTTCGTGAACTTGGTATTGCGCATGTACGTGACGTAGATACCCTTCAGACAGAGTTCCAGGAACGGGAAAGGCACAGCCAGAGCCATGTCACGAATGCGGACGAAGGCCAGCATGCACACGTTGGCGTTCAGCGACTTAGCCCACAGTTTAAGCAGCGCCTTGAGCATCCGACGCGAAGTCTTGGGGCACGGCACGACAAACGGGATGTAGTGCGCCAGCTCACGCAGCACGAAGGTCTGGATGTCCTGGCCGGTGGTTTGTTCGAGCAGGTAGCAGGCGCAGCTGAAGAAACGGCGGATCACCAGTGAGTGTTTCTTCCACTTCTTGTCGTCAATCTTAAGCTTGGAGTCTTCCTCGGACGAGGATTCAAGCGCCACCAGAGCGGTCAGAGTCTCGTGAGTCTTGCGGAACACGTTGACCATCAAGCGGTTGTACACGGCGCTACTCTGCACGTCGAACGTGATCTCGCCCTCCTTGCTGGAGTCCGCAGCGTCGCTGGAACGGCAGGCGTCGCTGAAGATCTTCATCAAGCGACGCAGACCCGAGACCGACTTGGCCTCAAAGCACTCCTTCTCGGCCTTCTGCAAGATGGCCATGGTCACGACGGTGCGGCCAACGCTCTGCTCCTCTTGTTCCTGCTCCTGTTCAGCATCCTCCGTCTCCTCAGCCTCGTCGTCATCGTCATCGTCGTCATCTCCACCAATCGGAGTGCCGGACATGTAGCGAGGGTCTAGAGCACTCTCGTCCTCCTCTTCACTGCTACTACCGTCGTCCACATCATCGTCGTCCTTCTCCTGCTTGGCCTTTGCCTTGCTCCCATCATCGCTAGCGTCATCGACCACCTCATCATCGATCTCCTCGTTGTCCGAGTCCAGGAAGTCGGCGTTCAGGAAGTCATCCACGTCCATCTCGTCCAGCATGTCGGGCTCGTCCTTTTTAGCAGAGCCACCCTCGGCCGCAGCGTTACGCAGCTTCTTCTTGCTGGGTGCATCGCTGTTGCGCTCGAAGCGGTTGCGCTTCTTGTCCTTCATGGCCTGGAATTTCTTCTTGGCATTGCGCTGCTTGATCTTCTGCTGCAGCAGACCCTTGGCCACGAACTTAGCCTTCTTCTTCTGTGCGCCCATTGCTGCTGTCGAGGTGATGCACTGCCAGCAATCTCAACAAGCAAATGCTTGGTTGGTTGTTGGCAGGGCAAAAAAGTGGTGTGTCGCACATCACATGTAGAAGCTGTACCAATGGCTGCCATAAAAGTGGACCACTTTAAGTGGTACGAAGTGGTACACGCGCACGGTTTCTGTGTTCTCAGTTTAGTGACACAAGTTGAAGTTGATCATCACTCTTTGCGACGCTAACACTCTGAAGAGGGCAATGCTTGCGGAGGAGCGTCTACTGCTAGGAATACCCTGACGTCTATGGGGGCCAACGCGACATCACCGGCGCCAGGTTTCCTCTTGACTATCAAAATACTTTGAAGTACTCACGAGTGGTGGTGAATGGACGCGGTGGTTGCTCTCTCCCCAGGAGCGCTTGACGAAATCCATCAACCACTACGGTTAAGAACAGGCGGAAGCGCGATGCATGTATCCACGGTCAGGTTCGTCTTCGAGCTGATTGTCGATCTGCAATCTCGCGTTGGGTTGCATTGCTGGTAGAGAGTCTCCTACTCACGGACACTTCCCGAAAACAGCGCGACCCAGTTCAGCCGCTCACGGGTGCGACTCGAAAAGGAGCGACTACATCGCCGTCCCCAAGAAGACCATGGAAACGTGCAAGTGCTGGCGCGACTGCAATTATTAACATCATTAAAGCCAAAGGCTCAATGTGGCCAGCTGATCCCTCACCAACTGCCGCTCATGTCATAAATAACTTGCATGTCCGAGACACTGCTGGTACGTTGTGCATGTCTCCATCAACAGCATTGGCTTAGGAGGGGGCCCTAGCAGCTGTGCGCTTAGGCTTCATGAAACACCGGAAAATGCCCCGCCGTAGAAGCCACCTCTGGACGGAGGCGTTGTCAGTCATGCAACACTAAGACGTCGGGTTTAATATCGCCTCTGCTTGAGCAGTACCGCTTTCTTTAATACAAGCGGCGCCAACAGGACGCACTCGACAGGCTCACTGACGAAAAAAAAGAAGTCAGAAACGCCTTCGATCTGGGCACCATAAAAAAAACGTTCAAGCACTGCCAGGTATGGACTTTAGTCTTGAATTCCCCTTATCTTGACTTGCCAGTTATCAACGTAATGGTGCATGACGCCACCAATGATGGCGGGCAATAAAGCACACCCCGAGAACATCGAGAACAGCGAAAGTGGTTGAACTGGGACACAACGACGCCATGTTGCTAACAGCCAGTGGACGCACCTTTTGGGCCAATCCGAAAGGGCGTCTAGAACGAAAAATCTGATATTCAACCAATGGTCGCCCACCGAATCTTCGAACGAAACTGTAAATTTTCAGTTCCTCACCAATTGCATCCGAAACTACGCCTACAACAACACCATCGTTCGCAGGGATCCCTTCGCGCCGTCGCTGCAGTGAGTAATAAGCGGCCAAGCATTTCCGCCCAACGCCAGCTTACAAAGAGACGAGCCCAGCACCGGCCCTGCCGACACGACACTTCCGCTTTAAACCGCCCGCACGCATAGGACACTAGAAAGCAACGTAGCCATGGGGGCCGCCATTATGAAAACCTGCTTCGCCGGGGAGCCCTTCGAGACCCCGCACCGTCACCATCAGCACATGTCGCACCACGACGCGCGCCGGCGCTATGAGCAACAGTGCACGCGCTCTCTGGCCAAGACCATGCCGCCGTCAGCCACGGCGGTGACACCGCATGCTCGTCGCGTGGACCGCCGCAGTGCTGCCGGCCTTGAATCCCCTGACAAGGAACTGCTTGCCAAAAAATATGCGGCCCGCCGCGCGCTGGATCTGCCGCAAACGGCCGTGCATCTCCAGAAGCTCGGCCATGACGTGGCCAAGTCCAGGAAGAGCCCGGCCAGCTCGGTGTCGTCCGAGGCCGCCACCATGTCTGAGAGTTCGTTCGTGGCCGACTCGCCCTCGCACGCGATCAGCCCTGTGCGCCGCTCCAGCCCGACGGCCGCAGGATTCCGTGCACTCCTACCGAGTCAATACGTCCTCGAGTGCGTGGCCGGCAAAGGAACGACCTCCACGTGCTACAAATGCAAGCGCAAGACCGACGGCCGACGCTTCGCCTGCAAGATCATCGAGAAGAGGAAGCTGGCCCCGTCTGCCCGGAAGAGAATGGAGGTGGCCGCTCAGTTACGCCGCGAGGTGGACGTGCTGCGACGCGTAGACCACCCGCATATCGCCAAACTGGAACAATCTTTTGAGGACGACAACTACTTGATCCTCATTATGGAGCTCATGGAGGGTGGCGAGCTGTTCGACGCCATCGTGGACAAAGGTCGCTTCTCGGAGCGTGAGGCCGTTCACGTGGCCCGCTGTATTCTCTCCGCTATTCAACACATGCACGAGCGTGGCGTCGTTCACCGCGATCTCAAGCCGGAGAACATGCTTCTGGCCGTGTCAACACGTCGAGGACGTCGTCAGGACGCGGCCAACCCACTGAACATCAAGATCATCGACTTCGGCTTCGCTAAAATTCTTAAAGAGGGCGCGACATCCACGTCCTTCCTGGGCACGGGAGGCTATTTGGCCCCCGAGATTTTGCTGCGGCAGCCGTACGGCACCTCGGTGGACATGTGGTCCTTCGGGGTCTTGACCTACTTGCTGCTCTGCGGCCGACTACCATTTGCAGCTACCACTCAACTACGACCAAACCAGAAGATTCAATCGCTGTACAAACTCACCTTCCCTAAGAGGTACTGGCGCGGGGTGAGCCCCGTGGCCATCGATTTCTTGCAGCGCGTGCTGGTACTCAACCCGTCCGCGAGACTTACGGCCACTGAGGCACTGAACCATCCATGGTTACGGTGCTAAAAGTGGCTCAAACACAGTGTTAGGTATTTATTCAATGCAGTTTATTGATTTTGCAACTAGAGTTAGAGTTACGGTATCCGTTACCGTTTAAGGTGGCTAATGTATCGTAGTGATAGCAACGCTAACAAACGGAATACCACGATGAGAATGCCGAGGATCAAGACGTTCCTGCCAATTTGATCCGACTTCATGTTGAAGGCCAGCTCGACGTACTGCTTCAGAGTAATGTTGCCGATAGTAGGCGGCGCGTTCTTCAAAACTTGACAACCGAGGTTACTGTTGGTTCCATCGGGGCAGTCAGCAAAGACCATTGCAACAAGTGTTGCTATACTGTACGTAGGCGGCGAGATGTAATAGATCCACTTGTAACCTAACGAGATATTATTCGCCGGAGGGTTGAAGCCTGAGAACAGCATGAAGATGGAGCTCAGTAATGCCCCAGCAATCGATGCAACAGCTACACTAGGCAAGGCAAACACCAAAAGTTGACCGAAATACACGAACAGTAGAGCGTTGAGAGATACCACAAGCCAGTATTGAATAAACGTTTCAAAGCCAGTAAAACCAACACTTGGGTAGAAGATAATAGTGAAGGCGAGAGCTGACAGTAAAACATACGGGATCTCCACCAGTGTACCCGCGACAAAATACCATAATGCATGGTACGTCTCGGATGCTCGTTCACGGTAGAATGCCGTACGTTCGTCTGCAGCTACAGGCATGACACTGTTGAAGCCGATGATTCCCAAGAATACAGTACTGATAAACACTAGTCCAACACCTGCGTTTGCACCGGTGAAGGTCGTGTAGTCGGTTGCTTGATAGATGACGCCGAGAATTGCACCAAGCATCACACTGATCATCAAACGAGTAAGGTTGTACGTAGGAGTTCGCCAGTACATGTGGAAGAACCGACGACATAGCAAGTCAAACTGCATCATCCCTGTCGATGCGAATTGGTTCGAAAACTTAAGCTCAGGAAGGTCAGCAGACGGTCGAAGAACTCCATCTTTATCCAGATTTTTATCCATACTAGTCTTTAATTCACTTTTTGAAAAATACTCAGCGAAATCCATCCCAGTACCAGAACTAGCACCCACTCCAGCGCCAATGCACTCAAGCATCCACGTCGCGGGGTTATATCCAGGCTCGATTGGTGTCACTCCTGGAGCTGTTTCAAAGTAGTTGATAAGGTTACTCGAATCTTTACCGAGTTCTCCGAAAAACACCATACATCCACCACGTCGAAGAAGTAAAAGAGAATCGAAAAAGCTGAAAACCTCAGAGCTAGGCTGGTGAATTGTACACACGATTGTTCGTCCAGAGTTGGCGATTTTGCGTACTCCATTCATGATGAGCTTAGCCGATCGTGCATCCAAACCACTAGTAGGTTCGTCCATAAAGATGATACTAGGTTGCGCAACAAGCTCGACACCGATAGTCAGGCGCTTCATCTGCTCAGTTGATGACCCACGAATGATCTTGTCTGCAATGGGACCGAGCTCTAACAGCGTAATGCATTCGTCTATCGACTCCATCTTCTCCTTGGTGGAGACACTGGCACTCTGTCGTAACATGGCCGAGAAGACTATAGCTTCTCGAATTGTTGCAGACTCCGAGTGGATATCCATTTGTTCGCAATAGCCTGTACTTCTACGAATGGAAAGATCATTGGCCGGGTATCCATTCAGCAAGATTTTGCCGCGGATTTTACCTCCAGTTTTACGTCCTGCGATGACGTCCATGAGCGTGGTTTTACCAGCACCAGAAGACCCCATAAGTGCTGTCATTGTTCCAGGTTTGGCGTATCCAGAGACACCTTGAAGCAGATCAATATCTTCTCCTTTCTTACCACCAGGCATGGGGACGGAGTACCATAAATCGTGGAAAGCTAGCGTGACAGGTGGAGCTCTAGATCTCGGGGTTACGATCGGAACAGTGACGTGTTCTTGAGGTGCAGGAGCCACCTTTATGCTACTTATCTTGGCATCTGGAGGTCCCTGCTTAGCATCAAGATCAGCTTGTACTACAGTCGTGCTCTCCGGGCTCTCATAACGTTTGTACTCTAGTACAAAATTTGCTGCGAGAACGAGAATCACATACCCGACGAAAAAGTAGAGCCACCCCAAGTAGATCCACGCTTCTTCCGTTGGCAAACCAGACAGTTTAAGGCTGTATTTACCAAATGTTGTTCCGAAATGAGCGCAGTAGTCGATGCCTCCATACACGCAGACATCGAATTTTGGAGCCAAATACTGGTTAATGCTGAGCGAGCGAATACTCCACGCGACCGAGTCGATCCAGTAGAACCAGATGAAGTAATCGGGAATATCTGTCTTCCTCAACAGAAATCCTCCGAACATGACGAAGAAGAGAATGGAGACCATCATGACGGGCTGAGCGATCGTGATACTTGGAGAAATGGCCGACAGGAAGAAAAAGTACGCTGTGAACCACATTTGACACAGGAAAAGTGTGACTAGAAACGAGATGAATCTGTCCGCGAGAGCTACGTATCCTCCCATCCAGTAGACGATCGACCCGAACAAAACCGTCTCAAAGATGGCGAACGGGATCTGCGTCAATGATGAGGCTAACACATAGGCCAATGACCGGAAGAAATTCGCTCCGCGTTGCTTGTAAAACACACTGCGAGCTTCCATGAACGTTGGTAGTTGAGCAGCTTGGCCCATCGAGAGGAACATGGTACATGAGAAGAGCAGGCCGAGGATCAACTGGCTGTTAGCGTCGTTCATTTGCCAGAATACAGAGCCATAGAGCAACCCCATGATCAACACCATAAAGCCTCGTCCGATAAGGAACGTTCGGTCTCGGAGTTTGATCTTCCATTGACGACGTAGTACAGTGCACAAGTCGTCGAGAAACGATTGTCGGAACACGCACGGGTCTTGAAGTGGGTCGAACAGGTCCGATTTGTGGTCTGGACGAGTTCTCATATAGGTTAAAGTATCCTGGAAGATATCAGACTGGCGGAAGCGCTCTGCAAAATCCACAGACTGGAACGGGATGTCAGCATCTCTAGATTCTTCACTAACGTAGGCATGTTGCTTGTCCGTTCCAAGATCTAACAGAAAATCTGCCACATCCTTGCGAGGAGGACAATGGAAACCCATTTTCTCGAAGTACTCCTGCACTTGTTCACGCGGGCCATGGTACATGATCCGCCCGTCGTTCATGATCAAGATGTCGTCAAACAGATTGAATACTTCCGGTGGCGGTTGTAGTAGAGAAACCACGATATTCGCTTTGAAGTGGCGAGTTAAACTCTTGAGTGAGTTGACGATATCGTACGTGGTCGCAGCGTCAAGGCCGGTACTGATCTCGTCCAGCAACATGGCACGCTTACGACCGAACGTCATTTCTCCCGTTGTAACACGTTTGCGTTCACCGCCGGACACGCCACGGATCATAGCGTTGCCCACCATTGTGTCTTTGCATCGATCTAAACCGAGGGATTTGACTCGAATATCCGCGGCGAACCTGTGTTGCGCTGTCATGACTTTGACAGCGCGTTCGTGTTGCTCTCCTGTACACTTTTCGAGCGCTTTAAGCACCCAAGGTTCAAGGTTTGCACCTCCACAGCATCGATGAGCGAACTCAAACGTCTCCTGCACTGTGAGCTGAGGATAGTGATCATCTTTCTGGTTCGTGTACGCAATGAACCGTGGCAAGCGGGCCAGCAGCTCCGATCGTTGAACGCCATTGTACGTGATCTCGCCGGACACTCCGATAGTCTTGTTCATTGGAAATCGACCGCTAAGGATCTTGAGTAGTGAAGATTTACCTGAACCAGGCTGACCTAGTACTAAAGTGATTCGTGTGGGCTTGAAGACGCCCGTGACGCCACGCAGGATCTCCTTCTCGGCCGTTTCTTGGTTAGAGAAGCACTTCATCACTCCCTGCTTGATTTGTGTCCAAATAGTGGGGACTTGAGGTCCCTCTGACCCTGGTCTTGCCAGTGGGAGACGCGCTGAAATATGCAAGTCACGGAAGAAGATCTCCACTTCTGGAATCGGCCGGCCCAATGTACTCTCAACCGCAGCCGCCACGCTCTCGTGCATTGCAAGCATGCCACCGGCCAGCAGGCCGTCAACGCTGGAAACGTCCGGGTCCTGCGCCATGCTGGACAAGAAGGCTCGACGTGTCGGTAGTTATCAACTTGATTGGCGTTCTGCTCCGATCTCGGTCAATGGGAAGAATGAGCATCGCGTTGCGCTACCAAATTGTGCAGCAACGGTTTGAGACGGTGCTGCATTGGTTTCGCTTCTTTGATTACGGGGTGAACTCTACTTGTGGAGCTTTTCATAGCTCCATCGGTTGCAGACCTGCCATCGATTCGCGTTTCAATCCGGCCTGGAGGTGGTGGTGTTGTGGCCACTTCATGACGACCATTCATCGTCTTCAACACTGCGTGGGGCTACGGCCCGTGGATACTTTCATCGAGCATAATCAGGATCGCCCCGGTCTCTGGTAATCAGAGCTCGCCGATTCCGCTGTAATCAAGAAATCTGAATCCAAGCGCTCGGAAGTGCCAAGTTGGCACCACTTCGCATTCTCCTCTCGGCTATGTGGTCCAACAAGCACGGCGAGTCGCTGGGTCTGTTCCCGGGTCGTAAGACGCTCGGCCCGCTATTCCTCATGACGGCCACGCCCGTGGCCGCTACGCTCATCACGCACGTGTTCGTGGCCCACGGCGGATCGGTCGGCTCGTTCCTCGCGTCAGGGAAATCGCTGGTCGAGGTCTGGCCGACGCCCTGGGATCCCACGGCCTGGAAACTCATCGGTAGCTTTATGGCCACGCAACTCGTGCTTATGCGCATGGTGCCTGGGCGGCCGTCGTACGGGCCCGTGACGCCTGGCGGTAATGTACCCGAGTACAAGGCCAACGGCTTCCAGTGCTTCGCTCTGAGCTTGGCTCTGTTCCTGTCCGGTGCATTCGTATTCGACCTGTACCCAGGAGGAATCGTGTACGACTACATGCCGGAGATTATCTCGGCGCTCAACGTCTTCAGCTTCATCTTCTGCCTCTTCCTGTACGTCAAAGGAGCCTTCCTATGGCAGTCCTCAAGTGACTGCGGAACGTCTGGCAACCCCATTTTCGACTTCTACTGGGGCACGGAGCTATACCCCCGGGTACTGGGCTGGGACGTCAAGCTCTTCACCAATTGTCGCTGTGGCCTCATGTTCTGGGCTGTGGGCGTGCTCTCCTACGCGTGTAAACAACGCGAGCTCTACGGATACCTGAGTGACTCCATGGCCGTGAGTGTTGCGCTGCAGCTCGTGTACGTGGCCAAGTTCTTCTGGTGGGAGGCCGGCTACATGTGCAGTATCGACATCATGCACGACCGCGCGGGCTACTATCTCTGCTGGGGTTGCCTAGTATGGGTTCCCTCTGTCTACACCTCGCCGGCCATGTACCTCGTGCAGAACCCCATCACCTTGGGTACGCCGTTGGCCCTGGCAATCTTCATTACCGGCGTCCTCATGGGTACGTACAGATACTAAAACCTTGCTAGTATGTCGGCAATTAACTTAGTTTCTTGTTATTTGTTGCTACAGTGGTGATCAACTACGACGCCGATCGCCAGCGTCAAAGCTTCCGTGCAGCCAATGGCAAGACGAATGTGTGGGGACATCCGGCCGAGTTCATTGTAGCTCGCTACGAGACTGAGAAAGGTGAGAAGAAGGAGAGTTTGCTGCTCACGTCTGGTTGGTGGGGGCTGTCTCGCCACTTCCACTATGTGCCCGAGGTGCTGGCCGCCGTCTCCTGGACGATCCCAGCACTCGCTTCAAGCCCGGCCCCCTACTTCTACTCGATCTTCCTCGCCATCTTACTCACGGATCGAGCTTATCGCGACGACGCCCGTTGCGCACACAAATATCGCCAGGACTGGAAGAAATACTGCGAGCGTGTGCCCTCACTCATTCTACCTAAACTCCTGTAGGACACTACATTTTTTCTTTAGAAAATTCAACGACGGTCATGTTACAGCTACGATTGCTCAACCACCTTTCTCAAACTTTTATCTGGTTATTTCTTTCTTCATCAAGATGAAGGAAAAAGACTTAAAGTTTGTTGATCATTGGTTGCGCTCACGAAAAAATTCCCAAGTGACGAGCATTACTCCGATGAATAGCGCGTGGAAGCTGGCCAACGATCAATGCCCTGCCCTTGCCATTGACGAGGGCCCGCTTATCCGTATTTCTGCTGCGTACACTCTCGGTAGTGGTTTGGCTGGCAACTTACTATTATATCGTCGGCCTCAGCTTGTGGAAGAGTGGCAATGTCTTCAAAAATGTGTCTGCAACTCGCATGCTGAGCTGTGAATTGTTGGGGCGCCTGGAACGGGAAAGTCTTGCGCAGCATTTGCATTTGCTTGCTCGCTGGACCGAACCAACTGGGATGTTGTGTGGATTCATTCTCCTAAACGTGGTGGTCCATTGCAGTGCATCCTCTTTAGTGGTGTCAATGAAAAGAGGACGCGTACGACTAGTGTCGAAGAACTGCCAGGGTTCTTTCAGGTTTTGATGGAGAGGACGATTGTGTTCATCGATGGATACGACGAAGAAAACGACAGCGAGGCAAGCATTCAACGTGCATGCGTGACGTGGAGAGTAAAAGACAAGATCAATCATCGTCTCGTGGGGTCACCTCGATGATCAAGCCTAGCAGAAATCACTGTCCGCTTTCGTGTGGCTCTGTTCCATCAAAAGTTGATACACCGCTTCTGCAAACGAAGGCAACTTTTGAAACAGCCTCTTCCAAATCTGAAATCATAGATGAGGAACTGCTTGAATTGATGTCTTGGACAAGGGAGGACTATGCGGAGGTGTTGGCGAATGACGATATTTTTTTATCATGTTAGCCAAATTCACGGAAGACTCTGCGCTGTGAGAAGACAGAGAACGATTACTGGAAAATAAGTTTTTCGTCGCCGGCGGAAGCGCCCGATGTATGTTTGATCACAATACTGCAAATGTGGAAGCTTATTTAGCTCGGATGGCTCAATTCATTCGCGTGACGAACTCGGGGTGTATCTCTTCTGGTGATGTGGGGACTCAACTTTTTTCAAAGTATCGTATTCACAGATCAACAATGTCGAAGGAATTCCTCTTGAGCAACTTTGTGGCTGAAACACTAGCTCAGGAACTTGGTCCTACTTTTGCGCAGCAAATATCATCCTTGTTGCCCTTTGGTCGTGATACGGATGATCATTTGTTCAGGTTGTGGTTTTTCGCTACTATGGTTCATGGGGGTGTCTCCTGTTACGACGATGAGGATGAAATATTTTATCCATGGGAAGCCCAACAGATTCTGCACTTTGACCCGGACGCTAAGCTCACGCTAGAAATGACATCACAATGGTTGGCCCCAAAAAGCGGATGAAAGGAGGTTATGATGCAGTTTTTGTGGAACTACGTGAAGTGGATACCAAAATTGATATTGTAATGCTTGTTCGATTTGTTCAAGTGACGCGAGCAGACAAGCATACGTTTGAAAGTGCTTTTTATCCAAATTTTTGGCCAAGTTGGCTAGTGACTTGAGTGAGCATTGGCTCGACGAAGTTGAAGTGTGTTTTGTGATTACGGTGGATGAACTAGAAGGGGGCGAGTTCGAACCAAAATAGACGATATAGACTTTAACAAAGCCGTTGTACAACCTGCGAAACTGTCTTGCACACAAAGCGTGAAGAATCACTCCTGGAGGCTGGGTGTTAGTATAAAAGTCGTCGGGGTTGACTACGAGGATTCTCAAGAGAGAATGACAAAGCGGGTCAAGAGAGAGTAGAGATTCCGGCAACTATCTCGTCGATTCGATGGTCATTTAACGAGACATGAGTCAACACTCGCTATTTAGCTTGCTTTCCGCGTAGTTTGCTTTCACTTTTCAATAGCACGATAAAAAAAGCTCCCAAAGCATCCGGGCTTACCTTTAACCTAAAATACTTCTGTGGTAAAATACCTACCACATAAAGGTGGTAATCAAAACCTCACCCAGGTATTATGTTATGAGGTAAGACACTTGGTCATATCGGCAAGTACACGAGCAGTAACGCTGTAAGTTTGAGACTTACAATCTTGCGCGTTGCTATACACGTGACCAACAAAGATAATCAACAGATCCCTTGGCACGTTGACCACCCTGTTTGTCACGGAAATTCGACTTTCCGATACAGGCACAACGACCAGAAAAATCTTTGAGTCATGTGATACCTTTCAAGTGTGGGCCACGAGTTACGTCCTCAGTTTCCAATCCGCCACGTGCCCAGCAACCTCAGTACCTCAAGCCACCATGGACGAAGAAAACTACCAAGCTGAAAACAATAGTGGCGGTGATGTCGTTCCCGACACACTAGTGACTCCGAAGGTCTCCAACTACCGTCTACCTCGCTTCAATTCGCGTCGCATGAGTTCCAGTGATCAAGACCTGCTCCCTCGGACGAATAGCATGTTCCCATATCCCCAGGAGCTCACGAAGGACAACTTGACAAGTGCTGAGGCTCTGATGGCCGACGGAGTGTTCACCATGAACTCAACGTTGTCTTCAGTCATCGAGGAAGCTTTAGGCCATCCAATTCCTGGCTTGAAAGTACGCTTCCGTAACCTCGAATTGTCAGCAAAGGTACCACAAATTAAGAGTGGGGGGTTGGAAGTTCCGACACTTTGGACTCAAATGCAGCAAGGAGTAACAAGTCTCTGTGCACCGAAAAAGAGTGGTCTAATGGCGGAGAAGAAGATCTTGCGTGGCATCAGCGGCGTGTTCAAACCCGGTCGCATCACGCTCGTTCTGGGTCAGCCTGGATCAGGCAAGTCTTCACTCATGAAGGTGCTCGCTAACCAGTTCCATATGGACAAGAATATCACGCTGAACGGAGCCATTGAGTACAGTGGCAAGGACCGCACTGAGCTGTTGGAAGTCTTGCCACGCTATGTCGCGTACGCCAACCAGATCGACGATCACTATCCTCGGTTGACAGTCCAAGAAACCTTCGAGTTCGCGCATCGATGTTGCGCAGGCAAAGGATTGGAGCCCTGGGTGGTCGAAGCACTCAAGCATTGCACACCAGAGCAACGTGAGCACGCTCTGGAAGTCATGACAGCTCACCACAAGTTCGCACCGGACGTGACAGTCAAGAAACTTGGTCTGGAAAACTGCAAAGACACCGTCGTGGGCAACGCCATGCTCCGTGGCGTGTCTGGGGGCGAGCGTAAGCGTGTTACTACGGGCGAAATGACTGTGGCTTGGAAGAGACTGCAACTTCTGGACGAGATCAGTACAGGCCTCGATAGCGCTGCCACGTACGATATCTGCAAGTCCATGAAGAGCGCTGCTCGCAACTTCAACGCCACCGTGGTAATCTCGCTGCTTCAGCCGTCTCCCGAGGTCTTTGAGCTGTTCGACGATGTGTTGCTTTTGAACGAAGGCACCATCATGTTCCACGGCAAGCGAGAAGACGCTGTGCCGTACTTTGAACGCATGGGTTTCCACTGTCCCCCTCGTAAAGATGTGGCCGACTTCTTGCTGGATCTTGGCACAGACAAACAAGACGTCTACGTTACTGGAGATGCCAGCGTTCCATACCAATCAGCCGACTTCGCTAAGCTCTTCACGGACTCGGATATATTCCAGAAGACATTGAAGCGCCTTGATGCGAGTACAGACGCCATGGTATTCGCCGATCTCAAGCCGTTCCGTCAAACGTACACTGAAGATCTGGCCACACTACTCCAGCGACAAGTGATGCTTACACTGCGTGACACGACGTACATCATGGGACGCGCTGTCATGGTTATCGTCATGGGTTTGCTGTACGGCTCGACATTCTGGCAGATGGACGACACGGACAGCCAGCTGATGTTGGGTCTGCTCTTCTCGTGCGCCATGTTCCTGTCCATGAGTCAGGCGTCACAAGTATCGACGTACATGGACGCCCGTAGTGTCTTCTACAAGCAACGCGGCGCCAATTTCTTCCGGACGAGCGCGTACGTGTTGGCCACATCGATCACTCAAATCCCGCTCTGCATAATGGAGACAGTGATGTTTGGCGCTATTGTCTACTGGATGGGCGGGTATGTCGATGCGGTTGACCGGTTTACCGTGTTCCTGGTCACGCTGTTCCTGTGTCAGATGTGGTTCACGAGTTTCTTCTTCTTCTTGTCCAGTGCGTCACCCAATCTGACTATTGCACAGCCCGTCATGTTCGTCGTTGTGCTGTTCTTCATGCTGTTCGGTGGCTTCTTGATCGCCAAAGATGACATCCCGGACTACTTGATTTGGGTATACTGGATCGATCCCCTGGCCTGGTGCATTCGAGCGCTGAGTGTCAACCAATATTTGGCCCCAAAGTTCGACGTTTGTGTCTACAAAGGTACCGACTACTGTGCTGAATACAGTCAAACAGTGGGGAAGTACACGTTGAGCGTGTTCAACCTGGAGACGGAGTCAATGTGGATCTGGTACGGCTGGATCTACTTCATCGCTGGCTACTTCGCGTTCGTCTTCAGTTCGTACTTCATGCTCGAGCACAAGCGCTACGAGAGTCCCGAAAACGTCGCTGTTGTGGAGCAAGACGAGCAGGCCGCGCATGACCAAATGGTCTACAACCAGATGCCCAAGACCCCCAAGGAACACCAGAACGTCATTGAGATCCACGACGTTGACGATGTTATCGGTGGCGTCCCTACCATCAGTGTTCCTACTCTACCGACTGGCCGCGGCATTTCTGTGCCCGTGACTCTGGCTTTCCACGATCTCTGGTACTCGGTCCCGCTCCCTGGTGGTTCCAACGATGAACAAATTGATCTGCTCAAGGGCGTCTCTGGTTTCGCTCTACCTGGTACGATGACGGCGCTCATGGGATCCTCTGGTGCTGGTAAGACGACGCTGATGGATGTCATTGCTGGTCGCAAAACTGGTGGTAAGATTCAGGGCAAGATTCTGCTCAATGGCCACCCGGCCAACGACCTCGCCATCCGTAGATGCACGGGATACTGCGAGCAGATGGACATTCACTCCGACTCGGCTACAGTTCGTGAAGCGCTGATCTTCTCGGCCATGTTGCGTCAGGATGCCAGTATCTCGACTGCGCAGAAGATGGAGTCTGTGGAAGAGTGTATTGAACTGCTGGAGCTTGGACCCATCGCTGACAAGATCATCCGCGGGTCGTCCACGGAGCAGATGAAGCGCGTGACCATCGGCGTGGAGTTGGCAGCTCAGCCCAGTATCATCTTTATGGACGAACCGACGAGTGGGTTGGACGCTCGCTCGGCCAAGTTGATCATGAACGGTGTTCGCAAGATCGCCGACTCGGGCCGTACCATTGTGTGTACGATCCACCAGCCTAGTACGGAGGTGTTCAACCTGTTCGACTCGCTCCTTTTGCTTCGTCGTGGTGGTCGCATGGTGTTCTTCGGTGAATTGGGCAAGGAGTCCAAGAATTTGATCAACTACTTTGAGGCATTCCCTGAAGTAAACCCGATCAAGCCTGGCTACAACCCCGCTACGTGGATGCTCGAGTGTATTGGTGCTGGTGTTGGCGGAGGCAAGGCTGCTGCTGGCGCTGATCCGACGCAGCCGATGGACTTCGCCGATCGCTTCTTGGTGAGTGACCAGAAGGCGTTGATGGAGGAGGATCTCGACCAAGCAGGCGTGCTGTACCCGTCTCCGCACCTGCCTGAGCTCAAGTTCGACACCAAGCGCGCGTCGAACTCAGCCACTCAATTCGATCTGCTGTGCCGTCGCTTCTTCCGCATGTATTGGCGTACACCAGCGTACAACCTCACGCGTTTGGCCATCAGTTTAGTGTTGGCTTGTGTCTTCGCTATCATCTATCAAGGTACAGACTACACCACGTACACAGGCGCCAACGCCGGAGTGGGTCTGATCTTCGTGAGTTCGCTCTTCCTGGGCATCATCGGCTTCAACAACGTCATGCCAGTAGCTGCCGAGGAACGCACCGCCTTCTACCGTGAACGAGCGTCTGAAACGTACAACGCGTTGTGGTACTTCATCGCCGGAACTCTGGTGGAAATCCCCTACATCTTCGTCGCGAGTCTGGTCTTCTGCGTTATCTTCTTCCCCAGTGTCGGCTTCACGGGATACGCCACGTTCGTCTATTACTGGCTCGTCATCTCGCTGAATACGCTCGTGTTCGTGTACTTGGGCCAACTCTTGGTGTTCGCGCTGCCCAGTGTCGCTGTGGCAGCTACTCTCGGATCGCTCTTCAGTGGAATTTTCTTGTTGTTCGCTGGTTACAACCCTCCAGCCAGCAGTATTCCAACCGGCTACAAGTGGGTCCACTACATCTCGCCGCCCACCTACACGATCGCGATCTTAATCGCTCTTGTGTTCGCCGACTGCTCCGACGGAAGTGCAGACGGCATCGGCTGTAGGAAGCTGGCGAACTCTCCTCCTTCTGTCGGTGATGTGACGTTGAAGGCGTACGTTGAAGACAACTTTGACATGAAGCAGGACGACATTTGGAGAAACGTTCTGATTCTTCTCATCTTGATCGTGGCCTTCCGTGTGCTCGCCTTGTTCTCGCTGCGCTACATCAACCACCTCAAACGTTAAGAGAAGAGTAACAACCTCCCCGTTTTCAAGCAATACATATTCATTTCCATTTCCATTTCAGCAACCGTGAGTCGAGCAGGGAAGAGGCTGCTAGATCGACCGATACTCGAACCTCTTGCCTCATCGACGCAGAATTGCTACATCTGCTAGCTGTACTTAGACACAGCGGCACTGAAAATTATACAAATCCGGTTACAATCACGCACCGGCAATTTGAAGCATGAGTTGGTAGAGCAGAACGAGTAGTGCCAGCATGCCAAACACCAGCACACCATACACGTAGGCAATCCCGCTGAATCTCCCGCTGTAGACGTTGTTGTTGGGTATCTCGCGGCTCGCTTGCAATTGTAGTAAAGCTGGAGCGAAAAACGCCACGTAAATCCCCATAAGTCCACTGATCTGGAGCGTAACAGACAAGTCCGACACGAACATGGATATCAGTAGAGGCGGCACAGCCGCTCCGAATCGACACAAAAGTTTCCACGTCGATCTGCTGCCTTGAGTCCATTTCTTTGGTAATACGGCTGCCATATTGTCTCCTAGTGTCACTGAGATGAGTGGGAACACGCTCAAAGTGTCGAGAGCAGGGAACACCACGACGATCATCGACAGAGCTTTCGCCCACAGCGGCACGAGCGTCATGGACTCGTTGATTCCCCACGTAAACTCGGCCCAGTTCAAATTCACGCTCGTCGCCAGTTTTGGTCCGAAATACAGCGAGCAAATCGATCCAAGCGCGATGTAAAACATCATCGTAGTAAGCAGCGTACTACTGAAAATTCTTGAGGCTTTCTCCTGGTTCCTGACACCCAGAGGAGCCAATAATCCCGGTACTGAATGCTGAAATAACTGCGAGAACACACCAGTACTAAACATGACACCGAATCCTGTCACATCCACGAGCGAATATTCGCTAACGTACGGCGACTCTGAGCTAGCTTTAAACTCTGCTCCGCTGTCGTACGGGTCTGCATAAACCGCGTACGCAGCACTAAAGATCATAATCAATAGCGCTGCGAATCGTACCACCGACATGGTCAATTGGACGTAAATCTGTTCTGTCAGGTCCGAACAGGACAGTGGTAGGACGATACAGGCGAATACGATGGCTGCATGGACGCTAGAGAGCTCCCAATTTCCAATATGGTCCACCTGAGTCAAGAAAGTATTGACGAAAACTTGACTGTATCCCACCAGGCCTCCGTACATGAGGCCTAGTAGGGAGATCTGGTACATTTTAGAGCCTGCAGGACCCAAAAATCTGTCACAGAGCTGCGTAACCTCTGGGAAATCATCGTATTCCATGGATACACTGCTTCTGGATGTGGTGGATTGGGATGAGGCCTTGAGTGCCGTTGTTTCGTCCAATAAAAAGCTGATAACGAAGGCTTCGCGAGCCCTGGCGACGCTCTCACAGACCCACATGACCGTCATATACGACAGCAGCGTGACTAGGACGATCATAACGTTGCCCATTACTAGGCCAGCACGGTAGAACGCGTAGGGGATGCCCAGTGAGCCTACGCCCAAGATGTAGTTGACTGTGAAGGCGTAGGCCACAAGGGGCGAATACTGCGCGCTGGTTTCCTGCTGTTTGACGAGAGGGAGAGACGCCTGGCGGTGCAGAAGGCGGTGCGCATTGCGGGACGAACGTGTCTCGCCGTAGTCCTCCCAGTTGCCTACTTCCTCACCGCTGTTGTCGTACACAGAGCTCCAGTCCATCGCCGCTAGCGCATGCGGAAGAGTGACGTGGGTGGAATGGAACTGTTAGCCGAAGTGATTTACCATACTTTCAGCCTATCATATTGTTGTAAATCTGAAATCTTGTGATTGGCTTAAATTTCTAAAAAAAAGCTTTTTTAACAAAGCAAGATGGTCTCAAAAAGTGTTGTTTTGGTAATTTATCATGTGCAAACTATTTTTTCTCATTATCAGAAGCAGTTCGATCCTGCCCTAGCTGGTAGTTTAACGCTTGAGGTGGCTAATGTAGCGGAGAGAAATCAGCGCCAAGACGCGGAAAGCCACGATGAGGATGATGAGGATCATGGCGTTTCTCCAGATGTCGTCGTGCTTCATGTCGAACGTGTCCTCGACGTACTGCTTGAGGGTCATGTCACCGATCGTAGGTGGTGCATCCTGCATGGAATCACAACCCACCTTGTCGCCCGAGCAATCACCAAAGACCAGCGCGACCAGGATAGCAATGCTGTACGTCGGTGGCGAGATCCAGTGGACCCACATGTAGCCATCCGGGATGCTTCCTGTGGGCGGATTGAAGCCAGCGAACAGCATGAAGATGGAACTGAGTAGAGCACCCAGCGTAGTCGCGACGGCCACACTAGGTAAAGCATACACCAGCAACTGGCCGAGATACACGAAGACCAGAGCATTCATAGAGACCACGAGCCAGTAGTAGAAGAACGTAATGTAACCAGTGAAGCCGACGCTCGGGTAGAAGATAACCGTGAACAGTAGACTCGAAAAGAAGATGTACGGGATCTCCACAAGCGTACCAGCAACAAAGTACCACAACGCGTTGTAGGTCTGCGATGCACGTTCACGGTAGAAGGCTGTACGTTCGTCGGCAGCCACAGGCATGACACTGTTGAAGCTGATGATACCCAAGAAGACGGTACTCACGAAGATCAGACCAATGCCGGCGTTCGCTCCACTGTACGTGTTGTAGTCGGTTCCCTGGTAGATAATAGCGAAAACGCAGGCGAGCACGACGCTGATCATCAGACGCGTGAGGTTGTATGTCGGTGTACGCCAATACATGCGGAAGAAGCGACGGCACAGCAGATCGAATTGAGTGGCTGAGTTCGACGCGCGCTTGGTGTCGAACTTGAGCTCAGGCAGGTGCGGAGACGGGTACAGCACGCCTGCCTGGTCGAGATCCTCCTCCATCAACGCCTTCTGGTCACTCACCAAGAAGCGATCGGCGAAGTCCATCGGCTGCGTCGGATCAGCGCCAGCAGCAGCCTTGCCTCCGCCAACACCAGCACCAATACACTCGAGCATCCACGTAGCGGGGTTGTAGCCAGGCTTGATCGGGTTTACTTCAGGGAATGCCTCAAAGTAGTTGATCAAATTCTTGGACTCCTTGCCCAATTCACCGAAGAACACCATGCGACCACCACGACGAAGCAAAAGGAGCGAGTCGAACAGGTTGAACACCTCCGTACTAGGCTGGTGGATCGTACACACAATGGTACGGCCCGAGTCGGC